CGGGGGAGGGAACAGCAGCGACGATGACCAGAGGCAGCCCAAGGGTCGGGGGGGTTCAAGCCCCCCCCCCGGCGCCGAAAGAGGGGGGGGGCTCAAACCCCCTCCCCCTTGGCGCTGGCGCCGGCGGCGGCCAGCAGCGCCGGCGCTGGCGCCGGCGACGGCGGGGACGCAGCGACGATAACCACCACTACCACCACCACCACCACTACCACCACCACCACCGCCTCAACCCACCACCACCACCACCAACCCACCAAACAACCACCACCGCCACAACCACAGCCACCACCACCACCACCACCACCATAACCATCACCACCACAACTCACCATCACCACCACCACCACCACCACCAAAAACCCACACCACCAGTACCACACAAAAAAACACATCTACCACGCCACCAAACACACCGCCACCACCTCCACCACCCACACCAGCACCAACCCACACCACCACAAACCACCATCCCCACCACCCCCCCCCCCCTCCCCCCCCCTCCCCCACCTCCACCACCACCAGCACCCACCTCCAAAAACCATCGCCACCTCCACAACCCACCACCACCACCACCACCACCACCACCACAAACCACCACCACACACCACCAAACCACCACCACCACCACAACCAACCACCACCACCACCACAAACCACCACCACACCACTATCAAACCACCACTTCCACCACCCACCCACCACCACAACCATCACCACCACCACCACAACTTTTTACCACACCACCACCACCACAACCACCACCACCGCCAACACCACCACCGCCACCACCACCACCACAACCCACCACTTCCACCACCACCACCACCGTCGTCCTCGTCGACGCTCCCCGCCGCCGCCCGCCGCCGCTGGCGCTGGCGCCGGCCCAGAAAAGGAAATCGTCGTCCCCGCCGCCGCCGCCGCCAGCCGAGGACAGGGGAAGAGAAGTAAGGGAAGGGGGGGGGTTCGAACCTCCCCCCCGTCACGGCAGGGGGGGGGCCCGGTTCCAAGCCACCCCCCCCTCCAAGCGACCACAGAACGCGCTCTTTCCCCCCAAGGGATCCCCTTGGCGCACCCGCCCACCTAGCCCTTCGGACGATGTCGCCAAGGACCCCTCCCCTGTCCCCACGGCTGCAACAGAACTGCAGCCGTGAAGGCCTCGCCAGCGCAGCAACAACGCCGCCCCCTTCGCCGGCACCTTCGGAGCCGTCAGCTGCAACAACTTCGGCGACTACAACACCTGCAACGGCGACTCCAGCTGCAACTCTAATTACCAACTTCGACGGGTACTAAAGCGACGACGCCACCAACCACTTCGCCAACGACAGCGCCCTCGACGGCCGAGAAGCCCAAGCTGGCCTGGGGTCGAGGGATAGGCAAACGACACGGAGGCGAGAGCGAGCTGGAAGCTCGCCACGACGCCGCGCGGATCGCGGCTGTCACCTTTTTATCGACGCCGATGATGACCTCATTATTGGACGCAGACTCGAGGACGAGCGAATCACCCACCTCGTCAACGACGAAACCATGAACCCCAACGTCATGGAGTTCCGCATTGACCCCGCGAAGCGCATCTGCATCTTCAACTACTACGGCGGGCCCCTCAAGCCGCAGGAGGACACGGCTGCCCTCGAGCGCAGCCTGCACAACCCCTTCGTGCAGCTAAAGGAGAAGGAGGAGGAGGAGGAGGAGGAGGAGGAGGAGGAGGAGGGGGAGGAGGAGGAGGAAAAGGAGGAAGAGAAAGTCCACGTCAGACCAATGGCAACTGCCGCTGCCTCCTCGGGATCCGCATGGCCAGAGGAGGAGGAGGAGGAGGAGGAGGAGGAGGAGGAGGCCCGCCCACTACCACACGCGCAACTACGGCGACACCAGAAGCGGAACTGAACTAGCCCCAGCCCAGCATCATCGCCCCCTCGAGGGTGAGCGCGCCGCCCTCCCAAAGGGGGGGGGGATCTGGCGGCCCTCGGCGGGGGGGAGGGGTGCGCGGGGCCCGCGGCCGCAGCGCCCCGGGAGGAGCAGAGGACAGGCAAGACCGGGAGCCCAGGGGAGGCGGAGGAGGAGGAGGACACCCGCGACACGGAGCGCGCTCCCCCTGCACGGAGTGGGGCTCTCCGTGCACAGAAAGGCCCGTTCTGCACGCCCGTCTCTTCCTCCCCCCCGCCGCCCTCGGCCCCCCTCTTCCCGTAAAACAGCGCTAGGATCGGGATAAATCGCTCCAGAGCGTTCCGGAGCGCTCTCAGAGCGTTCCGGAACGCTCTGGAGCGGCCGCGGCGCCCAACACATCCTCCAAACCCGCCGATTCTCAGAGATTTCGAGTTATCCCGATCCGATTTTTTCCCGATCTTCGCGTCGTTTGACTTCCTCCTTCCGGGGGGCTCTGTCTGCTTTCCTATGCTTGGGAGGGGGCCGAATCGCCCCTCGGCTGCGGCCCCCTCTCGTCCTCTCTCGTTCGGCCCCTCGCCTCCCTGTCGGCCCCTGCTCCGCCGGCCCCGCAGCCTCGACCAGTAAGGTCGCATGGCTCACTAATTTCAACCCCCCCAGTGCCGACTGGCTCGGGGGGGGGGGACGGCTTCGTCAGGAGACCATACAGCCGACGGGAAGCAGGATGAGGAGGAGGACGAAGAGGACGAGGAGGGCCAGGAGGAAGACGACGACGAGCGACGACGCCCGCTCGCCACGTCCAGGCACCCACGGGCGAGAACGAGGACGAACGGTGGCCGTCCGCGCTGCGCCCGCGCCGACGCGCCGACGCGCCGCGGCTGCACCGCCGCATCCGCGGGAGAGGCGGCGGCCCGCACCGGGCGTGATCGGAAGGGGGGGGACGCCGCCGACCACGAGGGGAGCGACCGCATTCGACACGCAAGAGGGGCGGGCAGCCTGAATAGGGATGGGGTCGGGAATCGTCCGAGGACTCCCTTCTGGCCCGCCTGACCCACGGCCTCCACCCTGGCTTCCGCCAGGCCGAAAGGATGGCAGGCACGCGCACCTTGTTCACCGCAGCTCCCTCGCTCTGTGGGGATCGGAGGGAGGGGAGACGGCCTCACAAAGAGTACAGCTGTCGAGCTCCTTAGTTTTGGGGGAGTAGCTGATGGGAGGCGTTCGCCAGAACGAAGGCCCGATCAAGGGGCCACTAGGCCAAAGTAAGCCCGATCCAGCCTGGGATCAAGCCCGATTTAGCGGGATTAAGCCGGATGAGCCAGGATCAGGTCAGATTAGGCAGGATTCAGCTATATTCGGCCAGTTTTCGAACAAGGATATACAAATGCCGATTCGGAATTTCAACCTCCTAGGACTTGCATCCGAAGTGATTCAGTGATTGCCGCAAACTAATGTCTGGCGACGATGCCGCCTCAGAGTGCCCAGGACGCGAAGTATTGAAAGTGGTGTTTTTTTTTGGCGACGGCGCCTTTGGTGAACCACTTAGTGCCCCCGTGCGCGAACGCGATGTGGCTTTTTGCTGGCATCATAACCACTTGCCAACGCAAACCTACTGTTCGCAGCATTGCATTTGGCGGTGCCGTCCCACATAGCAACCTAAGCGATATACAAGCAGCAGGCGTAGCAGGAGAGAGCAAGATGCGGCAATTTCCAGGGCGAGACCGCTCTTCGGGACGGCCGAGTCGAAGACGTTCCGAGTGGGTGGAAACAAACACTCTGGAAAACCGTCCGACTACGATCCGAGAGGGAAGACCACACAAGAGCCACCAGAGCGTAAATCCCGCAGTGTGACAAAAGTCGAACGGCGGGAGAGGCGGCACCCTGCGTTCGACACGGCTCGGGGGGAGAGGAGAGTGGCATCCATGTTGAGAAACGCTTGGCAGGATAACTGGATGAGGGATGGGTGGGTGGAGGCACAGGTTCAGGACGGGAAACAAGAGATTAACCATCAGCTGTACGATTCCTGTCGCCCGCGGGCGGACCAGGCGGTGCTGGCTTGTTCGCGTTGCGGGTCCTGCTGCTTGGAACGGCCGAGGGAGCTGCAGGATCCTTGCCAGCCTGGCCGTTTCAAACAAAACAGCCGAGTCTTCTAAACCGTACCCTGCTGCCGTGGCCGACGGGGAGGCTTAACACTGATGTTTGCCCCCGCTCCGCCCCGAGACGGCGGAATGATGAGGCCGCCTGTAAAACTACTGGGCTCGGCTCGATTATCTGTCAGTGTCTCTTGGTTCTTTTTCGCCCGTGATCCCCTCGTCGCCACTGGCAGGCCTCACCACCAGCCGCTCCTGGAATCGCTATTGTTGGTCATTCGCTTGCGGGAAAGACAATGCTGGAGGGAGCCAGGGAGGCAAATCATGGGGCCGATTGTTAGATGCTCGGTGGAGGAGCGGAAGGCGGTCAACTCAGGGCCAGCAGAGGCCTTCATAGTCTCATGGGGACCTCCGAAATAAATCCTGGTGCTGCTGCTGCCGAGAATGTTGCTACAGCCCCTGCGTCTCCCCCCCCCATCTCCCACCCCTCCCCTTGTCCACCCGCCCCGCCCCTCCCCCTCCCCTCCCTCCACACTCTCCCTTCCCCTCTTCCCTCCCCGCTGCGTTCCCTTCCTCCCCGATCCCCCCCCCTTCCTACCATCTCTGCGAGCTGGGGACTTGCCCGTATCCACCGCCTGGGGAACCGACCTCCTGGGGTCCCAGCAGGCAATGGATAAGCCATATGGCTACATGTTGGCCCCAGAGGGCCCGAATGCATCCGAATCCACCGCCCGCCGAGGACCCCGAAGATTGATCGCCCAGGCGGTGGTTATGGAGAAGTCCCCGCCTCGGACTCCCCCCCTCCTTCCCGCTCCCCGCCTCCTCTCCCCTCTTGGAGGCTGCCACACAGAGCACGGCACCATTGCCCATGTCTGCGTCCCACCACCTTCCCCCCTTCCCCCTCCCCGCCCCCAGGGACACGGCCCCTGCCACCCACGGGCCCCGCCAAAATTCGCGCACCGAGCCGACCCGTCGGACGGAACGTCGGCGCGGGCCCGCGGCGGCGAGGCAGGCGGGAGGGCGGGCATGCGGCGCCAGGTAGTCTCGTGCAATCGCGCCTGCGCCCGCCCGCGCATCGGCGCGGGCCCGCACGCTCGGTGCCACGCCGCCGAGCAAAAGGACTTACTGCATCATCAACGACGGGAGGAGGAGGAGGAGGAGGAGGAGGAGGAAGAGGAGGAGGAGGAGGAGGAGGAGGAGGAGGAGGGGGTGGTGGGGAGGGGGCGGTGGATGAATATGACGAGGAGGGACGGAGATGTCGGAGGAGGAGAAGGGGGAGGAAGAGGAGGAAGAGGAGTAAGAGAAGGTGGAGGATGAGGGGGGCGAAAACATAATGGGGTAAAGGCGAGGGAGGAGTAGCCGGGTGCAGAGGAGGAGGAGGAGGAGGACGTATGAGAGGAGGAGGAATATCAGGAAAAGGAATGGGAAAATGAGAAGGTGAAGGATGAGACGGAAGAGAACCAGGAGGAGGAGGAGCGAATGGGGAAATAAGATCCGGATTGGCTGCGAATCGACTATGGCCCTTAGTCTGCGATGAGATGCGAGGAGATGGGGACAGATGAGGGGCGACGGCGACGACGAAGAGAAGGGGAAGACAAACACTATGGGCCAGAATAGAGCGTGGCAGTGGCATCCAGCGCTGCTAATACCAAACGCACGTGGGCACAAACCCCCGACTGCCGAAGAGGTTGCGACAAGGACCGTCCTTGGCGGTTGGTCCTGGAATCAATCGTACCAACGCACAATGGCATGAGCAAAGAATCAGTCTCGCATGCTGTCAGCTTCCGACCTGTTCCTCATGCTGCGCGATGGTCGTGGCTCCACATGTAATTTTCCCGGCGGTGCGGGCCCCCACGACCAGCGCTGCCCAGGGTCACACGCTTTCAGAAGGTTGTGGGCCCTCTTGGGCCACAATTGAAATATGGGGGGGGACATCGTCCTACTCCTGCGCCTCGCCATCCTCTTCCCCAATATCTTCGCCTCCCGTTCCTCCCCCTCCCCCCGCCCCACGGTCTCTTCCTCATCGTCATCGTCATCTTCTTCCTCCCGTTCCTCCAAACTCATCTCATCCAGCTCCGCCCCTCCTCACCAGATCGTTCTCCTGCTACTCCTCCTCAACATCATCCCGTCCCTTGCTGACGTTCCCCTCCGCCCCTCTCGCCGACGCTGAGCTGGAGAGACAGGTCGTAGTAGGCCTCGTAAGTCTTCGCTGCGAGGACGAGGCCTGTGCGGCGCCGAGGCTAGCAACGCCCGTGAACCAGAGGGGAGGGGACACCGATGCGGAAGGTGGTTCTTAGCGGCAACGCGAAGAACAGGATGAGCAGGAGCAAAACTAGTACGACAACCCGACGCGTAGCTGGATAAACTCAATTTGCAAAAAGCCGAGGCTCGTCCGCAAGGCTCGAGCTGATCGCGCAGAACATCATGTTGCACGGGGCTGTGTATGGGCGATCGACCAGATCCCGCTACATCATAGGGGCATGAGAACATGAAAGCGCTGCTGATTCACTCGTTTGCACAACCTTGGCACGCGCAATAGTCCCATAAGTCCGTGCCTGTTCTGCGTATTACATCCCGCACGAATGGAAAACGCTCGCCAGGCGCTGCATGTTGTTCTTGATATGTCCCTGCTTTCTGTGAACTGGTCTGGCCATGCTCCTCCAGCCAGCGGCACAGCCGCTAAGTACAGCGTAGAACTAGCACGCCACCAAATCGAAAGGCCCATGGATACCACGGGTCACATGGTGCTGGAGTCCCATTACTCGCATGCGGGGTGTGGACGCATGAGCAGCGGCAAAAGTCACTACACCATGCCTTCCCACACCACATCATCTCATACGCAGCACGATGTCCGCGCCTCACGAGGGGATGCCGACTCCAGGACGGTGCAAGACCAACAAAGAGTAATAATGCGTAGTGAGGATAATGAGTGAAACGCTCTTGTTCTCGTAAGCGGACGCATCATGTAAAGTCCGTATGCCCACAAATCGCCACCATCTGCATTTACCTACGTAATGAAACATGTTGTACGTTGTATGGGCCACTAGCGGGCAGGCTGGTCCCGTGTTCTCCTCCTCATACCTCACTTCCGTCCCCCGTCGCACTCCCCTTCCAACTCCCGTCCCTCTACCACTCCTCCCATTCCCTCCCCCCTCCCCCTCTCTGTCCCCGTTTCCCCTCCCCCTCCCCCCATGTCTCCCTCCCATCCCAATCAAGTTAGAGAGCGATCTCATCCTGATGCCCCTCATCCCTCTTCTCTCCCTCCTGCCTGCCGTTCGAAACAGAATGGGTAAGGCCCCTGCACGCTGCAGCCGAAGGCCAGAGGACAAGGACCCACCGCTGAACACCTCCCCCCTCCCCCCCTCGCACCTCCTCCTGCACCTCCCACGTCCTCCCCCTTTTCCCCACTTGTCACCTCAAATGTACCTTCTCCTCCCCTGCCTCCCCCTCTACAATTACTCAATATGAATATACTCTCCCTCTTCCCCTGATGGCGTCCGGGTGATGGCCGCGCACCCTCCGCGTACTGTTTTTTTACACACAGGATGCCCGGGAAATCCCGGGAAACGACTCTCGCTGAGGCGCCAGCGTCATTTTTTCCCAAAATGCTGCTCTCGTTGAGGCGCCGGCCTCATTTCTGCTCCCGAATCGTTCCGAATCGTGCTCCCGCTGCAGCGTGGGCCTCATTTTCGGATCGGTGTTTGGCCTCCGTCGTTCAGGATGGCGTTCTCGCCCCAGCGCGGGCCTTTTTCTCGCGCGCCCATCCGCCCGCCACCACCGCGCCGCACCGCCACCACCACCACCACCACCACCACCACCACCACCCCCAGCACCAGCACCAGTACCAACACCACCACCACCAGCACCACCACCACCACCACCACCACCACCACCACCACCATCACCACCACCACCACCACCACCACCACCACCACCACACCACCACCACCACTACCACCACCACCACCACCACCACGACAACCACGCACACACGCACGCACGCACGCACGTGCACCACCACCCACTACGCACGCGCGCGCGGAGCCACAGGTCCGCTACGACACGCGTCCGCGGATAGAGAAAATCAGCGCCATGGTAAGGGACGGGAGGGAGGGGTAGGACGTCAGATATGACGCGAGCGCACCTAGCTTGGCATCCACCCCCTCCTCCCCCCCTCCCTTCCTCCATCCCCTCTCTCTCTCCCCCAGAAAACGACGAGAAAGATGAGAAAACGGAGGAGAGCCCCATCCTCCTTCCTCGCACGCCCTTTTTTGTCCACCCTTCCAATTCCCCCATTCCCCCTTTCCCCCTTCTCTGCTTGTTTTTTGTGTGTGTTCTCTCTCTATCTCTCTTTCTCTCTCTTACTCTTCCCAAATCTCGGCTCGAGAGTTTTGCTCAGTACGATCCCGAACGCCAAGCGCGCCGCATCCTTTCTTCCTTGCCTCGCGAGACTGGACACGGCCCAAGTCGTGACATATTGGCGTAACACACGCGTTCAATACCGACCGCGCGCCAGGCAGTACGCGTCCGGTTCCAGAGCAGCCCAAACCACCAGGTAGGGGCCACCAAAGGGTGACCATGCCGGATAGCAACCTGTCCCGAAAGGAAGCCTGCGTCGCCACACTCCAGGAGCAGTGGTGGCGTCGACCGAGCGCCCTCTGTATACGACGAATGTGTTCGCAAGCGTACTACATAACTCATCATCGTACACCAACAACACCGCTCCAACCAGCACAATCTGAGTGGCGAGCTGATGAAACTGTGCGGGAAACCCAAGGTCAGCTACGCCATGCTGCACGATTCCCTGGCGCGCAAATCGGGCTCTAGTCGTGTCTCACCAGGGTCCACGGTCTCGGCCGATGCCGACGACGCCCGACTCATCAGCCTCGACGCACAAAACTGGGATGTGGCCATCGCCATTGCGCCCACCAGGGCGGCGGATGGCACATCACACCCCAGCAGCATCTCACAACACGCACGAGAAGGGGGAAATCGCTTCCTGCAGCAAATCCGCCTGCAGGACCCCCCCTCGCCATTGCCGTCCTTGGTCGCCGCAAAATAATCCTCATCCCTGTTCTCCGCAAGACCGCATGGGCTGCCGAGCCCACGCAAGGCCACTTTCAGGAAATGGCTTTCCAACTGGGCCGCGCCGGGGCCAAACGCTTCCAGGACGCGGCGCAAGACGCTTTGGACCCCGAGGACAATTTGACCCAGATCCGCGGAGCATCGCCGTCACGGTTTCCCTCCTGGAGCTGTCCACGCCCCAGGCATCAGGGGCTGTGCCAGTCAACGGCACGCGGCAACCAAGAGGAACAGGCACGGCCCAATCCAGGGCCAGGGAGCGCCACGAGGCAACCAGGCGTGACGACGCGCGCAAACAACTCGACGATGACCTCACTGACGCATTCACAGCCATCTGCACCTACCACTTCAGCACGATTCCGCATCCAAGAACCAATGAAACTGCCGGGTCGCCACGGGACCGCGGCAGGCAAACGGGTGACTCACGGCAATGCTCGGCGTCGGGCCGACCGACGCGCCGACAGTCAGGTCCGCCTCGGGACAAGGAGGCACCCAGTTCCGCATCAGCTACCATGGTTCGAAAGGACCTGGACCAAGCGAGTACATCGCCGTCTGGCATCAGGACGACAGCATGGGCGCGCTCTACGAGAGCCACCAGGCATCTCAAAAGCTGAACGTCTTCGGAGCCGCCCGTGCTGGTTAAAGCTTGGTGCCCGAATCAGACTGGACACAGGGCCGTCGCAGCCGCGACCATAGAACTCTGAAGCCTGACGCGGCGCTGGCCAACGCCAAGGACCGCATCGCAGACATTGTGCCTTAAAGTGCTACAAGGACTTATATTGTCAAGGACCTGGCTTCCCTCAAATGGCATGGCGACGTGCAACACACAAGGCTTGGGCATAACTACCAGAGGGAAGCCCTGCCAACCTCAGGGCGGCACGGGCCCGCTGGAAACCCACATGCACGTGTAGGGGTCAGTCATCCCATGGGCCATCGCGCAGGTGAAAGCTGAAGCCCAGAAGGCGCCGCCAAAAACGCCATCGGCCAATCTTGTCTCACAAGGGGCCGTCGAAGCAGACGCCCCCGCGCAGGGGCCGCGCCTGAGCTGCCCAGGCGCAGAAGCCACGCCGACTCTTCGTTGAGGCCCATCCCTAGACGCATTCCACCCCCGCCCCCCAAAAACGCCCAAGCTAGAACGTAGAAACGCAACAAGGAGCGCGCGGCGTGGAGTAAATCCACCAAGTGTTCCGCCTATGCCGCGCGTGAAATCCCTCTGCTGCGAGAGCGGGGATGCAAGACACTTCAACGCCTGGCCCACAACGAGGCGCGCCAGGGCAGCGCGCGGCGTCGCCCAACACTGATGCCCGATGCAAGAGCAGCGCGCGACGCCATCGCCCACCACGCCGCAACGGTACACTACGCAGCTAACACAGGCGCAGCAGCAGCGCACCGAATTGGGCGCAGTGGCCTCAACCAGAGGGCTGGACCATGTTTACAGGCCTCCTAGATGGGGCCCGAGTAGATGGGGTCGGAGGGTCGCGCCGCATCGCCGATACATCGACGATGCGTCGGCGATGCGTCGGCGATGCATCGGCGATGCACTGGCGATGCATCGTCGACGTCGGCGAAGCATCGGCGACGTCGACGCGAAGCAAATCGAGTTCTACATCGAGCTGCGTCGGCGATGCGGCGTGATCCTCCGACCCCATCTAGGAGGCCTACAATGTTCCTGCAGGCAAGTGCGTCACGATTAGAATTGCAGCGCGGCGCGGCAAAGCTGGGGGCGCGGTCGGGGAGGGGGCCCGGCTCGCATTGCCCGTTCCCGAGAAAGCCGAATGCTCGAGGAACGGGCGATTTGCCGCGCGAGGGGGACGCCGCAGAAGTTGTCGCGAAAACTTGCCACAAGGAAAACAGACTGCGCGGCGAAACAACTGCAACGAGAATGCGCTGCAATCAATATGCACCAAAAACGCGCCGCAAAAGTGCGCCACGCACGTTGCTACAACGCTGTCCACGAAACTGCCGAGCAACTGTGCCGCAACAGAGCAGGCGACCAAACGCGCAATGAACTCGCCAAAAAGCAAAACAGGGAGACCCCATCGACCGTCGCCGCGCGCTTGCCCGCGCAGGGGGAACCATCCCGCGGTCCTTTTTTCTGCGAAGCTTTCTGCGGCGAACACAATTTGGTTGTTGCCCCCGTCT